CTCCTCGGAGAGCCGGCTTTCCAAGGGGACCTCCTCGGAGTGCCGACCAGACACAGGGCCGGCGCTCCAAGGAGGACCTCCTCGGAGAACGCTGCGATGGGAGGTCCTCCTTGCAGCACCAGCCGTGCGGAGGGCCGGCTGCTCCGAGGACGACCTGGGGAAGGGGTGACAGCCGTGGCATGTGACAGCCGCAGCTGTAGTGTGTATGTGCTAGAAGATCATTTCTAGTACATGTATGGGATTTTCTCACTTGTATGTGAAGGTTAAATGTAGTTTCAGGGGGAGCTTTCCTTAATTGCGCAATTAAGGTAATTACATGTTAAAACCATTTGTGGAATCAAGTTTTATTTTCAGTTAATTTTCGGAATTTGTCATTTCCAGTTTATTATCACTTTGTGGGCCACGTGTGATAACGTCCATACATGTAGCTTCTCAACAAAATGGAAAGTATCAATGAAAGAACAGTGTAACTCTGAATGATATGTTGCCCTTTCCTTCTTTTTGAAACATTTCTTCCCAAGGACTTGCAGGCTGAGTGTACTGAAAGCAGGGTTGGCATACCACCCAGCTCACCGGGGTTTACCCAGATTTTACACATGGTACTCTATCCATCTTTTTAAGAGCTTGGAAATATTATCTTTTAGGACTACATTTCCCAGAATCTACCGGTGGCCATGCTTGCTCTGGATTTTGGGACTTGTAGTCCAGAAAGTAACTTCTCCAACTCTGCAATTTTTAGTGATGGTAATTTAAGCTTAATCATTGCATTGTGTATACCTGTGCCTTTGCCCTGTTCCTTGTTGAGACACTTACGGCATACAACAATTTAGATGTCTGAAGCTTCTATCATATGTTGGGATAGACTGCAACAGGAATAAAAACTTATTTTATCCTGGCAAAGATTGCTAGTAATCAGAGACCCTTTGTCCTCAACATATAAGACAAATTCACCAAGAGATGGCATTCTGTCCTAACTAAGCAGCATGTAATTACCTAAATACTCTTTATTTCGTATATATTATTTTGTGTGTCCTATGATGATAAAAACTGGTTTTAAAAGTGGCATACAAAATTGTTATTAAAATGTTTTGATTTTGTTTTTGGGCACTGGAGAAAGTTCCACAAGTACCTTTCTACATCTCTGGAAGTTAAAATTTGACAGTAGAAACAGTAGAAGATTCCAACTTGGAGTTTCCCAAGCTGGAGTTTCCCAATTCGCATTGGAGAGGGGATGCACCTGGACAGCTCTTTTAGGGACAAAAGCTGTGCGATAAGACCTGGCTCCAGCCCAAATTGGGCTCTAATTCGCAAGAGGTAAGCCGGGTCTGGGAGGAGGTGTGATAATCCCCTTTATCTGACATGGGTTTTAAACTGTGATTAGAACTGGGGAAAAAGTGGGTTTGGCAAGGACATTGCTTCTGATCCATAGTTCCCATGTCCCTGAAGCACAGTTAGGGTGTTCCTTTTCATGAACTCCCAATTGTATTGCAGTCCCATTAGTCATCAAATATGAAACATCACTGCCAAGGCAGTTGTGACATTGGCAGCCACATGATGTCAATGTCTCCTCCTGCACCCCCTTGTCTCCACTCCCTCTTGCTATTCCCAAGCAGGCTGATTCCCTTTATTTATTTATTTATTTATTTATTTACTGTTTATTGTCTTAAAAAAAAATAAATTGCAGTAGCAGAGCTCCAGAATTGTGTGATAAAATGAAAATGAAAATAAATAAATACTTAAAAGTGAGAGCCATGCCGGGTGGGGCATAGGGCAGTGTGGCAAGGTTAAGGGGTAGTCAGGAAGAGAGCATGGTGGCAGAAATAGCCCTAGCTGTGCAATTAAGAAGACATGCGATAATGGCTTCTCACCAATAAGTATAATTCTATTTTCTTTAACAAAAGCAATTGTGGTAAGAATGGGGCTTATGAGACAATATTCCACAATACAAAGCCCCAGTTCTGAAAAGACATGAAAATAACAATTTATTTACAAGGCTGAAAACCTGCTGCAATAGGCATCTTTTCTGTTGGTGTCTTAATGACATGAAGAAGAGGAAGCTGTCACAATCAGCTTCTAATATCTTTCCACAAATTCCTGGGGGAATATTTGTTGTCTCCTGTTATTCAGCTTCAACATATATAAATTATTATTATTATTATTATTATTATTATTATTATTATTATTATATTGCTCAGGTCTTGCAAACACAAGGCCATGGTTTCCTTGACTGAATCAATCCACTTGTAGTACAATCTGCCTTTTTTCCTATGGGGGAATATCTGTCTTATCTGTCCGTCCGTCCGTCTGTCCATCCGTCATCACCACCACCACCCCTCAATAAAGAGGTATTGTGGCTTCTTTTGTAGAAGGTACTGGACCAAGATGGAAGTTTGTTATGTATCTTTCCTTGGTGTGCAAGAGTGTGCTGAATACAAATAGAAACATGTGTGCTTCTGATTGTTTGCAAGGATTTGTTACTTTAGATCTGCTTTGTGAATGGTAAGGCATACTGGCATAAGCAATATCTTGTTACTATATTTAGTTTCAAAATGTCTTCAAGAGTGACTCGTAAATGTTAAAACAGACAATGCTATTTGTTTGGCTACCTATTGCATATGTGGGAATAAGTTCAAGACTCATTAGCAGATACTCTGCAACTTAGCTTCTTGGGTTGAAGTTCTGTATTATAGACATGTCTGCCAGTTAAGGAAAATGATATTTCAAAATTACAGGACCTGAACATTGGAGCACTTGAGTCAGTGAAGTATATTTGTGTGTCAAAAAACAAACAAACACCATAGTCCTCTGTCTAAAATCTACTGAATTGATATCAGCTATATTCATTTGCAGTAACTATGAATTCTTTTCAGTTCAGAATGGCCTCAGTTGAAATGTCTTGCCTCACTTTGAGCATCAAAAAATGCTTTCAGGCTTCGGCCTCATACTCCAACATGCTAATGTTCTGTCTTCTTGTTCAATCTCTTTTTTTTCTTTCCCATTTCCAATCATTCTTGTGCAATCTGCTTGGCTGTGTCGACTTGTGTGATTTGTACTGATAACATCATGCTGTGTTTAGAAATATCCTCCATTTCTGAATTCTATAGCCTCCTCCCATAACATTTTCCTTTGGCCTCCAAATTTCTAACATTGCAAAGAGTGAGGCACTGAAAATCATTCACACCTGGAACTAGGTTTGTCAAATTAGAACTATCCCAGGTGAGCCTTGTTGATGCTAGAAAGATGTTATTACAGGAGTTCACACCTGGTGTTGCCACTAAGCATTAAGCAGAGCATGCCACTCACATTAAAAAAATACCAAAGGTGGATCCACACTGCACAGTTATAGCAATTTGATCCCACTTTAACTGTCATGCTTCATTCCATGGAATTGCAGTTTGTGGACATACTTGGACTGTTTTAGGATGTTTCCCTGGACTGTAGTATTAGAGATCATTGGCATGGTGCTTTAACTGTGTGGTATAGATACACTCCACAGCCAACAAATGAGAAAAATATATATACACATATACTTTTCAAGACAGTGCTCTCACCCAGAGATTTCTCCCCACCCCCCTGAGGATTAGAAAAAGACAGTGAAATCTGGTAATCTTAACTAGAACTCTTCCATTTGCTGTACTCACATCCCCTAGGTAATTTTGCTTGTGACTTTTCTTTGGTTGCCTAAACTGTATTTCTAAATGTTCAACTGAGGTTTTAAGTAAATTAATCTAAAAAAATTGGGGACTTAAAGAAAATTTCCTTTTAGCAGAAGAATTCTTACTTGGGGGCATGTCCTCATTCTCTCCCCACCTTCTGAATAAAATCATGTGGATTGCCCTGGCAAGTGAAATGAAATGGGAATATGAGAGGGTGATAGGTTGAGAGGCAGTGTGGTATAGTGGTTTGAGCATTGGACTGTGACTCCAGAGACCAGGGTTTAAATCCCCACTCAGCCATGGAAACCCACTGGATGACCTTGAACAATTCATACACTTTCAGCTTCAGAAGACGGGCAAGGGCAAATCCTTTCAGAATAAATCTCACCAGAAAACCCGATGATATGTTCACCATACATCAGAAATTACCTCAAGGCACACAACAACAGGCCTAGGTTAGTGAGAATAGAGATTCAGAATAAATCTTGCAAGCAGGAGACAGAAAACAACACTGAATCAGGGTTTCTCTCTGTGTGTGTGTGTGTGTGTATTTGGCTGGATCAAATCTGTTAATTTCAAGGCAAATATAAGAATAAAGAACATAATTGGCACATCCTGTTCCACAAAAATGTTTGCAGCTGATGAGAAAACTAATGCATATCTCTCCAATATACTCTCCATCATATCCCATTTATTGTTTCACCATACCTTTTGGCCATGTGTGCATCAAGCTATCCATTATTTTTTCAGAGTCCCATATTTTTTATAACCAAGTGTTTTGATAAAAGTAGGTAAGAAAGAAGAAGCAAAGCTTGTAATTCCTGAAAAGAGCGTTGGCTAAGCAAAAAGTACAAAGCCATGTGTGATATATTTAGAATAGAAGCAGCTCCTAGGGCGGGTAAATGGGATGTTTGATAGGAGCATAGATGTCAGAAGACGTCAAAACCCCATTTAAATGATTAGAATTCCATCCACAAAGACACACTTCTTGCAGTCTAATAGTAGCCAGTTCCTTTGGAGGAAGAAAATGAAGAATAAGAATTTAAACCATAAAAGACTACTATTTTTTTCAAGCTGGTAGTGTATTTAAAAAATAATGGATTGTTCATTTCCCTAAGCTGTAGTCCTTCTCCTGCAGAGCTGTGTACAGAAATCTGTTCCTATTAACAGTGGGTTTTGGCTAACCAAAACATTTTTTTCTGCTAGTAGTAAAAAGTCACCAGTGCAGATGGTTCTTTATTATTAGGAGGTCTTTTTTGCCCTTAAGTAATAGTCTCAAAAATAGCTGCATGTGCTGTGCCTTTTTGGGTGTTCCAAGATGTTCTTTTTTGGTGCCTCCTAGCACCATCAGTCTAAATCATTGTTCACCTAATTCTCCCCCCTTCCAAATAGCCTTTTTTTTTGTAGAAAAGAAAAAAGAGAGAAAATTCAAAATTTGTAGAAATGTTATATATCATACTTTTAGGCCAGCATACCTATGCCATGGGTGTATATATCATACTTTTATGCCAGCATACCTATGCCACTGGAATGATATGCTGCCTTTTTACTGGATAGGATTATAGGAGAACCAGCTTCGCTTGCACCATGATAATGCATGTTCCCATTTTTCTAGGAATCGAGTCAAGGTGCTCTGGGGGATGTCTTTTTGCACAACCACATGCACCACAGTTATGCTGGCAAAACTTCACTTGCACAATTAATAATCAGGATATGATGCTTGTACAATATCTTAAAAAGTGCATCCATTGAGATATGTCACCAACAGGATTGTAGTAAAAAGATGCTGAAAAAACAAGAGAAATTTACAAGAGAAATATATGGATGTCTGGTTGCTGGGTTGTTAGCTGCCTTCCAATTGACTATGGTTTATGGTACCCTATCCTAGGATTTCCTAGAATAAATCTGCCCAGGAAGACACTATCTTCCTTTAAGATTTGAAAGAGACTAACCATGGTCACTTGGTGGGTTTTCATGGCAGAATGAGGATTTGAATTCTGGTTTCTCCAGAGTCCTTATGGAACACTCAGACCACTACACCACAGTGGCTTTCAATCACAAATAAAATTCAAAGAATTAAACAGGGCAATGGCATAGTAAATTGATTGGTATAGAGAACTTTCAGGGCCCAGGTGTAGGAGTTTATCACACGGGGGAAATCCAGTGCAGAAACGGGGCTTTAAATTAAACAAACCCCGCAAAAGCCGGTGTTTTTTCAGACGACGTTGCTGTTAAAAGGAGGTTAATCCAAACGGAAATTAGACAAAAACTGCTTCTTTTTACTTTCAGAAGATCCCGAAAGTAAAAAGAAGCAGTTTTTGTCTAATTTCCATTTGGATTAACCTCCTTTTAACAGCGCTGGAATTTATTACACGGAGAAATCCCGTTGATAAATTGCTTCCGCTTTAGCGTTTTTCTCTCTCTTTAAAGTACCGTTTTTGCTTCCCATGTGATAAACTCCCTAGGTAGGTTTCCTTCGGAGAGAAAGATCACAAGAAAACTATGGTTTTTCTGTAATATTTGAGTTTAGCAACAAATAAACAAGTTGAAAATTGGTTGAGGCACAGCTTCACATATCATCAGATGTCCAAATCCATTACTCCATGACCCAGTTCCAGAAAAAAAATGGTATTTACATCCCAAGACAAGGAAGATTTCCCCATCTAACTATAGCAACATTTCCTGCAATTTCCCAGTCTTTGTACACATATGTAGCTTGAGGGGAGAATGAGTCAGTTTCTCTATCACAAGGATAGGCAACCTTTCCCCTTTAAGGGCCAAGGGACTTCAGCTCCCAGAAGCCTCAGCCATGTTGGCCAATAGTCCCATATTGGCCAATAGCTCCTGGGATTCTGGGAGCTGAAGTCCCTTGGCCCTTAAAGGGGAAAGGTTGCCTACCCCTGCTCTATCACTTAGCCTTTCTGGGCTTCTTCATTGCAGTTTCTTTGACAATAGATGTGGCATGCATATTGTCCTTGAAAAAGCATGTTTGAACAGTACTTTTGCAACCATTAAACTTCTCCTTTCCAAACTTGCAACAATATATATGAAGGAATCACAGAAGCTGGTAGAATCCATGACTCCAGCAGAAAACTATTCATTGTTCCTTGAACAATATTTTTAAAAACGATTATCAAGCTTTTATACTGGACACATTGCTTTTGGTTAAATGGCTGGGATTAGTCCAGGGATGGTCAGTTTTGCCAAAAGCCTTCCCTCAGAAGAAAAGAAGTCAAGGCTTACACAGATGTGATTTATAAGAACTGCAAGGAGGCCGGGAATGGTTCCAGGTTTTAGTTACTTTTATGCTGTCAGTGATGAGGAGACTATGGAGATCTTTAAAGCTTTTTGGACTTGCAGAGTGTACTCATGAATAATCTTTGCAAAAAAATAAATTGCCCCTCCTGAATTTCTTTTCTGTTCTGCTGACATATGGATTTTTTTTGTATACACACACAAGCCCCCCCCCCCCATTCTGGGAGAAGATATAATTACAATTGGTTCAAAATGATACTACTTTGACATGTAACAGTAAAAGATCTGATCAAATTGTGCCTGTGTGTAATACTCACAAACAATTGGCAATCATGCCAACCAGCTGTATAGCAGTGCAGAGGGAGGGAACAGCTAATCATCCTTATTTCTGGTTGTATACATGCAAGACTGGCTGCTGAATTGGGCAAAAGAACAGCATATACAGCAGCCTTGGATCTTATGGATTTGGATTCCTTCTCCCAATTTCTGTCAGTTTTATGTAGGAATAACCCAAAATGTGCAAAAGTAGAACTTTCCATGAAAACTTTCAGCAATGTGGGGAAAAGTGTATAGACTTGAGTTAGACTTGAGTTTCATGTTGAAAAAGCACAAATATGTTTATCTATTCAGAGAGGAATGCAAAACATGAAGCAGTGCCCTCATTCCAAATAGGCTCCATATTTCATGAGCTACAGAGTTTCATGATGTCTCCATGTTCATGTGTAGGAATGGAAACAATATTCAAACATAATCAATAAATGATCAAAAATATGTTTCTTGAGTATCAGGAAATCCTAACATGGAGAATCATAGACTGATCAAAATCTTTGTAGTTTGGAATTTATTCTACACAAAATTCTCACAGTGGGAAGAAACATTCTGAAAATGCTTTCAAGAATGAAATTAGCAAAAAAATTATGTCTCTGTCTATTCTACTATCTTTGAAAGGTAGTGATCACACCATAAAGGAGAATAAAGCTCAGTTTCATCATTGCTCTCAAAAGAAATTTTTCACATTAAAAAAAATCAAAATAGTTGAATATTTGACAAAGCTAGAATAATCTTTCTTTAAAAACTCATTGCGTACCAAATTTTTAGGCCAAGAGCAGAGTATGCATACATCTTTTCAATGAAGTACTTTACATATCCACTGTATTTCAAGTTATGTAGTGTATAGTAATCATGAGACTGTGCATATACATGTTTGAAATGGTGTTAAGTAGTTCAGGCAAAAAGTGTAATAAATGGTAAGCATCTGACATCACACTGAGTCTCTCCTCAGTAATGAAGAAAGGGATAGATGAACATGGTAAAGCATTCCCATAAATACTTGCTTGAGCTGAACCTTTTTGTTAAATGAATAACTCCCCCATGTCCCATACCTACACAGCCATACATTTAAGCAGTCAAATAATTATATAATAAACTAAAGGCTTGCTCCTCCCCATGTGTGAATTTTTCTGTGCAAGCCAAAAATATATGTCAGAAAATCCAAGGGGTCTGAATCAGAACAGCCACCTTGCCAGTAAATGGCATGCCATTTATTTGGGTTGGCAAACTTTTTAAGGAGGATAGCATCTGGGAAGGATTTATTTTTCCTATGCAAAAGTGACTGGAGGAAAACTTAAGATATGAAAAAGCCAGATAATCCTGTTGAAAGAGAAGGGAGGAAGAAAAACATTTTTAAAAAAATTCCTGGAAGAATCCAAAATGAGGTTTCGAGTGCTGTGCAGAATTATGCAGACTTGCTTTCTAAATGTAAGAAAAGTATACAGTGTTCATGAAGCAAAACAGGAAAGATATACAAAGTTGAATGATGACACCAGCTGTTAAGACAGCCACTTAATGAAGTCTTCCCTGTCCACTCTGGATTTTAATAAATGATCAACACCTTTTAATTCAATTTTTTCCTTGAAGGGAAGGATCAGATCTGTGTCTCAAATATGTTCACAGACAGTCATAAACACCAGCCAAGCAATATATATCTTTCCATATTTTCCAGGACATTCCAGGAATGTGCAAAAAGAAAATACAATTCCTGTGTG